CGCGCTGGGAGCCCGCGTCCCCCGTGTCCCGGCGGCGGCGAGGCCGATGGGGTCCCCTCCCTGCCCTCGCCCGCTTCCTTTCAGTCTTGTGGAAGCAGAAAAGTGCTTCGATCGGGCTGGCGCACGTGTGTGAGTCGCTCTAGGCGGGAGGCTGAGGCAGGACGATTGCGAGTTCGAGGCCACCCCGGGCCATAATTTACTTGAGACCCTCTCAGAATTTTTTTAAAGGGATGGAAATGTAGCTTAGTGCTAAAGCGTCCCTGGATTTCACGCGCAGATTGTTTAAAAAAGTTAAACCTCTTTTGTGATGCTGGACAAAGCCAGAGTGACCCCAAATTTAGTAGGTGTCCCCTAAACTGACAGAGGAGTGGAACCTGTGAGTTTCCAAGTATTTGTGTTCTCCCTAAAATGGAGAGGTCGGGGAAAACGTCTTGGATAAGAGTACCTGTGGCATATGCCTGCAGGGTTAGACACTGCGACCATTTCCGGTTTCAGAAGTCACAAATTACTGCGAGGGCAGAGCCGGGCGTGGTGGCGCACGCCTGTAATCCTAGCACTCTGGGAGGCTGAGGCAGGAGAATCGTTGCGAGTTCGAGAACACCCTGGGCTACAAAGTGAGCTCAAGGCCAGCCCGAACTGCATAGCGAGACCCTGTGTCGAAAAGACAAAAACAAAAAAACACACAAAACTGGGGGGCAGTGTGACATTTACGTGCTGTGGCAGGAAGATCCCAAGTTCAAGCTCAGCCTGAGTGATTTAAGGAGTCTCAAGATAAGCAAACAAAGAAAAAGAATATTCTGGAGCTTGGTAAATCCAAGATGAGGGCAGTGACATCTGGCCTTGCTGTTCTTTTCCCCTCCCGTCCTCTTTATTTTTTATTTTTTAAAGTGGGGATTAAATCCAGGACTTTCCCACCGAGCTGCATCCTCAGCCCTTTTTTATTTTATTTGGAGGTAGGGTCTAAGTTACCCAGGCTGAGCTCAAGTTGAAAATCCTTCTGGCTCAGCCTTTTGCTGGGGTTACAGGCCCATGCCACCGTGTGGGACCTCACCCTGTTTCTGGGTTGTTGTTTTTTTTCTTTATTTGATAACAAGATTTGCAAGGTTAAACTGGATACCTGTCACCTCTAGTACTTCCTCGGTCCAGGGCCTGACTGTGGTTTTTGTTCGTCTTTGAAATCTAGATGAGCAGGAAGTGGTGGTGGAGGTGCCCAGAACTCAGAACCCTCCAAAACCAGTCATGACCTCCAGACCCACCGCGGTGAAAGCCACAGGTAGAGTGATCTTTAATTGCTTTACACTTTCTCTTAGGTCCGGGAAGCTCAAAGGGAGCTCCTACATAGCAGCAGGTTTCGTTGAATGCTTTAGCGTTCCCAAGTTATATTTCTCCCGTAAAGCGAAGGCTTGTTGCTAGAGACATTTTCAGTAGTGCAGAATTTGTTGCCTTTTTTCTGTACCCAGAATGCTTGTACTGTTGTAACGTGTGGAGTTTTGTTTGTGTTTTGTGGCGGGCTTCTCACTTTGTAGTTCATGGCAGCCTAGAATTTGGTTGTGTCTCCCCGAACGTAAGCCCCAGCATGATTTTTTTTTCAGGATGATGGTAATTCAAGCCCTACCCCCAAAATAAGCCCCAGTTAAGCTCATCACCCAGATGGATGCATTTGGTACGTGTCCTCAGTGATGCCTGACGAATGTATTGAGTTATAAAGCAATAATGACATTAATACTTAAATGATACTATAAGTTGTAATCACATGTAAGTAGCTGAACGGGTACGTTTGGATGAAAGGTAAAAGCCAGTGTAAACAGATGAACTGGAGACACTGCCAGACACGAGTACAGACGCAGCTCTCGCACTGTGTGTGCACTTGCAAGGGACAGGGCTGGTGTGTCTGCTGTGGGTCTTCATAACTCAATACGTCATGTGCTGTAACGGATGTACGCTGCTTGATGCACTTGCGTGAAATAAAGGAACACTTTCCGAATGTCGGTGCTTGCAATTTTCTGTCGGTTTTGTGTGGCTCATCTTTTTTTTTTTTAACTGGGAATTGAACTCAAGACCTTGCGCTTGCCAGGCAGGCACTTGTGCCGCTGAGCTACAGCCCCAGTCCCCATCGTCCTTAACTGTCGTCATGTTTGTTGCCAGTCTTGTCTCGTAAGTCTTCCCTTAACCCTTGCTTTAATGGTAGATTTAAAGGGAATAATATTTTGACCCCCAGACAAGGTGAGTGCAAAAAGAAAGAGCTATTCCGTCGAGTACAAGAAGGGCATCGTGGAGGACTCGCGGGGCAAGAATCTCACGGCTTTCTGCAGAGAGAAGCAGTTGGATCTCCGCATGGTCCGCAAGTGGCGCTCAGAGTACGAGACCCTCAGTCAGCAGGTGGACGAGGGCAACGCCAAGAAGCGCAAGTGCGGGTCGGGTCGGCAGGCCTCGTTCCCTGAGCTAGAGGACATCGTGTGCGAGTGGATCGCCGACCGGGGCGCCAGGGCTCTGGGTGTGCGCAGGGCTGATATCCAGGCCTTCGCCCTGGCGGTGGCGCCGCAGTTAGAAATATCCCCCGATGAGTTCAAGGCGTCCCAGCACTGGCTGGACGGCTTCCTCCAGCGGTACCATCTGCTCTGTCTCTAGATGGGCGGCACCGTTGAAGGCTGAGGACATGGGTTGCTGAACGTGCTTGCCTTCAGGGCCCCTTGGCTGGCCTGGACTTTCCAAAATACAGACTCGTGACTTCTGTGGGTGAAGCTGCAGGGCTCATGGGCCAAGGTTTTAAAGGACAGTAGATCTGAGGGGTGCTTCACCAGTCTGTGTTCCCCGTAATTTAGCAGTTTGTGTGGACGGAAAGAAATCGTCGCTGAGGACACGGAACAGGAAGACGGAACGTTTCAGGCGTCTCTTGGTGGAAGCGGAGGGCCTGATGTAGCAAGCAGCCTTGCGGAAGTGGCTCAGTGGAACGCTGCCGCTTGTTTGGCCAGGTGGCCAGAGAGGTCTGCGAGAGTGGGATTCAGGCAGCACTCATTGTGCTAGAGACAGAGGAACTTGCTCACAGAGATCAGATCACATCAAACAGTGGTTCCTGCAGGAATGACCACCTAGGGCCAGGGATGTAGCTCAGTGGCACAGGCACCTGCCTGGCAAGTGTAAGGCTCTGAGTTCGATTCCCGGTACCACAAAAAAAAAAAAAAGAAATGACCACCTAGCTCCAGGCTTCTGGTGAACAGGCACTCGAGACCCTTCTGCACATGGAGATCAGTGACGGTGCTGAAGACAGAATGGAGACAAACCAGCGTGGAGGTGTAAAGCCCAGCCTGCAGGAGTTTGTGACACGGGCGAAGAATCCGTGGCGCAAAGCGGCCCCCGGCTGTGTTGCCGGCACTGTGCGCTGGCTGTGTGCACAAGAAGGTGTTCAAAGAGAGCTCTGTGGGACATGAGACACTGAGGACAAAGGCTCTACAGGAAATACGAGTCGCAAGAAGTGCAGGCCGGGATTTGGGGGTGGAGAGTTCTGATGACGTTCTAGGAGATGACGCGTCTGAATAAATGTAGATTTCTGTGCATGAATAAACGTAGATTGTTATATGTGAGTAAATGTAGGTTGTTGTGCATAAAGAAATAGGACATCCCCTGAAAATAAGCCCCCCTGCATCTTTTGGAGCACAGATTAAGACCCAGTCTTACTTTGGAGGAAATGTGGTATGTAGCCCAGGCTGGCCTCAGGCCTGGGATTGTCCTGCTGCGGCCTTATGCGTCCTGGGCTGACAGGTGTGGGCCGCCACGCTCAGCTCCTGAGGTTGCTGTGGGCCTGCCTTCCTGGTTGGCTGCCCGTGCCTTTCGTATTGTTTCCTGACAGTCTTGTCTGCATGGGTGCCTGGGTGTATCTGGAGCTGGAAGTTCCTTGTGTGAACACTCGTAAGCACAGAGGAGTATTTGCAGTGGTGTCTTTGTAGTTAAACTTAGGTTTACATCATCACTAGCATTTGCTGTAGGACTTCAGTACAGTGACGGATTGGGCTGAACCTCAGTCTAAACGTCTATAAGATGGATTTTATAGCCCTGAGTTATTTTGAGGATGAGATAGAATGATACACAAAAAGCTATGACATAGTAAGTGTAAGGATGTTAGTTTCATATTTTATCTTGTATATTTTGGGGAGCGTGTTGGGGATCGAACCCAGGGTTTATGTGTGATAGACGGACACTCTACCACTGAGCTACACCACCAGTCCCATTTCAGAAAACTTGGAAGATTAAAATATTTCCACACCAGCCAGGCATGGTGGTGCACACCTGTAGTCCCAGCACTGGGAGGCTGAGGCAGGAGGATCATTGCAAGTTCAAGGCCAGCCTGGGCTACAAAGTGAGCTCAGAGCCAGCCTGAACTGCATAGTAAGACCCTGTCTCAAAAAGACAAAAAAACAAAACAAAAGTTTCCATACCATGGGTGATGAAAGCTAAAACCTGCCTGGCGGGACTCATTCATAGCACTGTGGAAGGTGAAGGATCACAAGTTCAAGCCCAACCCGGACAACTTGGCGAAAGCCCGTTTTAAAAGGGCTAGGGGTGTAACTCATTGCGTCGGCCCCAGGTTCAAGCCTCAGTGCTGCCAAGAAGAAAAATCCAAGCCTTGGCTGTAAAATTTCCCACCTACATAATACTACTTTGTATTTGCAAGCGGCCGTACACGTATTCCTTGATCAGAGTCTTCCCTAAGAATCGTAATGGTGAGCGGACGGCCGGTGTTCCTGGGAGAGATGACCAGAGTTGCTGTGTCAGCGGGGCCCGCAGTGTGTGGTGCGCAGGAATACTTTCGTTTTGCTCAGCCCCTGCGCCGTGACAGTCTGTTGCTTTTATTCAGTTCCTGCCCACTAGTTGGTACAATGCAGAAGATGTCTGTCAGATGGAAACCACCGAGGGACGACTTTCCTGTATTTGCATGAATTCTTAATTTTTTTCTTTTTTTTTTTTTTTGATTGTTTTCCGGTACTGGGAATTGAACTCATGACGTCGCACTTGCCAGGCAAGCACAGTGCCACTGAGCTAAATCCCCAGCCCCTTTGCATGAATTCTTGTAACCAGAAATAAAGTAGACATGGAAGTCTCTCTTTTTTTTTTTCCCCCTTTTTTTTGTTTTTTTTTGGGTTTTTTTGCAGTCCTGGAGATCAATCCCAGGGCATTGTGCACCCAGCAGAGCTGTGTGGTCCAGCTGCATCCCCAGCCCTGTTTCTTTTCAAAATTATGTTAAAGGATTCTGCCCTTTCTAATAGAAACATGACACAAAAATTGATAATTTTTGAAGTATCAAAAATTTTAAAAGTTAAGTGTGCTTAGATAAAAGAGCAAACACCTAGTGCGGTTTGGTTTTGTGATACTCAAGGTTGAACCTAAGGCATTCATCCCGAGCCGTTTGTTTTTTGAGACAGGGTCTCACTGTGTAGTTCCGGATGACCTCAAATACACAGCAATCCTTCTGCCTCAGCCTCTCAACTGCTGGAATCACAGGCATGCACCTCCATGTCTGGCTGCAGCCCTTTTTTTGGATCTTAACCAAGTTGCCCAGACTGAGCTTGAACTTGAGATCTTCCTGCCTCAGTCTCCCAGAATGCTGGGATTACACATGTGTGCAGCTGCACCAGTCTGTTTAGTACTTTTACACTGAAAATGTTACGGTCTTCCACGTGAAATTATCTCAGGAAAAAATTTTTTTAAAGGCCTATTAAATTAGATGAGAAAAAAAAAAAGTAGATCAGTAAACCCCTAGAGCAGTTGGCAGTATTTAAGCATCTTCAAGAGAAGGGTTACTTAATTTGGTTCCTCAGAGGATGGTGGAGTCCATGGGTCCCCGGAGTGTGGGGCAGTGTGTTACGTGGAGCATTTTTTTTAAGCAGTGGCAAATTTTATTCGAGAAAGTAGAAGTAAAGAGACGGGGGAGAGAAACTGGCTCTGCAGAGTGATCTTGGGCTGAGGAAAAAGAGGGAGAGAGCAAAGGGAAAAGTACTCGCCGTGTCTGGGAAACCCAGCGTGGGCTCTGTGGAAAGTTGTGACTGCCTGCGGGAGCATTTTCATTCCCAGTAGTTCCATGCCCTGCATGGGTCACAGAAATCCAGTTGGGCTGGGTGCCGTGAGGGACATCCATCATCCGAGCTCGCAGGAGACTGAGGAAGGAGGGTCACCTTGGGTTTGAGGCCAGCCTGGGCCACTTGCTGAGACCCTGTCTCAAAAAACCAAAAAGAAAAGGAGGAAAATCTAGTCGTGTTCAGTGCTGAGGCGGCCCCTCCCTTGGAGATCCCTCAGTGCTATCACAGAGCAGGATTTCTCCAATTTGAATTTTCTCCTTTTGTAGTTCTTTTTCTTGCGACAGGCTCGCTATGTAGTTCAGGCTGACCTTGAGCTCACTTTGTAGCCCAGGCTGGCCTCGAACTTGCAACAATCCTCCTGCCTCAGCCTCCTGAGTGTTTGTAGTTCTGCTCTTGCAATGTTATGTATATATAACCCTGTGTTCAGAAATTGAGGAAAAGGCCTAAAAAGACTAAGAGGAATACATTTGATAACGGGGAAATGGATGATGTCAAAGAAACATCCACCTGATCCCTTTGAACAGGCTGCATTACAACAGCTGATCAGAAATGTGTCCTAAAAATGTTCACTGTGGAAGACATGGCCGTGAATGCCCTCAGAACCCCCTGTGATTTAAGCATACCTGCCCCATCATCCTTGCCGCCTCCTGGAGCAGTCCTGTGAGTCTCTGCAGGATGCCCGGTAAAAACCCAGCGGCTCCCACTGCCAGCGCCACCCAGTGGATAGGCGTCTCGGGGCACGGCGGTGCTCTTATCCAGCGGACGTGGCTCCCCCCCCTGCTTCTCCAGAGTCAGAACCACAAAATAGAAGTGTCTTGAACGAATTCAAGACATTGAGGCAGCCGAGAGGGAGCAAGCGGAGCAGACAGACACTCACGAAAGGGGACTGCAGAGGTGCTGCAGAAAATGGCAGGGACTGGGATAAGTGTTTGAGTTGGGGGGGTGGGCTTTGAAGAGGATCTATGACTTTGTGTCTTTTACTTTAATTTTTAAAAATCTAGACATTGACTTTTGTTTCGTTTTTTTGTTTGTTTTGTTCCGGTACCAGGAATCGAACTCACGACCTTGCGCTTGC